TTTCTAATTGAATACAATGTTTTCAAATATTTCAATAATAAAAATTTACAAATAAACTGAGTATTGTTTAATGCAGTCCCCCCGCCCCAGATCAAACTCAGGCCCTTGCTTTTGGTCCTAGGCAGGTGCCAGAACCACTGAGCTTAAATCCCCAGCCCTTTATGCGGTTTTGGACTCACAGATATATTGTCATGTGGGTAGGCATTTGAACTCACATCTCACTCTCCCTTCATAATGAACTCCTTTGCACACACACACAAAAATCTACCTTGTTCTCACTTTCCACACTCATCTGTTGTCTACATTTCATTATGGTGATGATAAAACAGAACTGCACTTTTCATGCCATATTTCTCAGAATGCCATAATAAAACTCACAGAGGAAGTATCACAGACAAAGGCTCGAAGCCTTTGGCCCACTCTGTAGTTATTATGTATTCACGTGCATACAATGGGAGCATAGAGACAGTGATCTCTCCTCTTTTAACTCACAGAGTACCTGTAAGTTTCTCTCTAAAGCTTCTGAGTTAAACTAGGTAGGTGCAGCAGCACAGACACAATCCTGTCCCTCATCTAAAGAAGACAATTTTGAGATTATCTCCATACAAAACCCCACAACGTACATTTGGCTGAACTAAAAGGGACATTAATAAAAATGTCCTGCAAAATTGTATTCAACTAATTTCATTATGTTTTCAACACTGTGTAAACTCTCCAATGAAACATCCATATGTCATAAAATCTTCATTTCATACCTGTATACTTCCCTACAACAAATAGCCACAGTGCCATTGGAAGCTTGTTGAAAAATGTAAAACTTCAACAAAGAATACATGTGCATTTGTCAAATTTAGAAGGAAACCAAGCAGAACAATGGTAATGTAAAATTCTCTATATCTCTGTTACAGTTGGACTGAATATCTTCAAATGATGAGTTTTCATTAAATGAGTGCATTTTCAGAGGACATGTGACAGTTATGTAAAGTTGGAGACCACAGTCCTTTCTTCTGCAGATTATTTGATCTCCATGTGCCAGGAATATTTTCAAGAAACAACCACAGATGACTCACTGTGGCATGTCTGGGGGGCTAATGTGTATATGAACTTGTGGGTAAATGCCCAATGTTTTCTCAACTTAAATTCCTTGTGTTTGCTTCTCTTCACTCAGTTAGTCTTTGCAGATGACAGGGCTGTCTTTATTTGCAATATGGCTCAGTTAGCCTATTAGTACACAGATGAGCAGCAAGAATGGAAACTAACATTTGTGGTCATTGGTGTGCAAATAGACGTTCTTCACATTCAAGTAAAATGGTTCCCTTTCTAGTACCCAGCAAAGATATCCAGGTTACCTGCAGCACCTACAGATATTACCAATGCAGTCACTGCCCACTTGAGCCTTGTCCAATGTCTTGGAACTGCAGCTAAGACATGTAAGGTATACACGGCACACTCATTCACTAAATGGATTTCAACACCAATCACTTAGAATGGGGTGAAGAGGAAATACATTTGCTTTGTCAGGACATATTATGAATAAGTGTAGAAAGTGAAGATGATTTACCGCACATATAAAAGCATAAAATAAAGGAAAGTACTATAAATTTAGAAAATTTTAGACTTCATGTCATCATTGAATTTTAATTAACAAAGATTTACCATGAGGAAGGATTTCACCTCAAATGATGGCTGAGGCACTCTAAACATTTAAGTACAGTTCTCCAAAGCAATGATTATATCACAGGGAACAAACTGTTTCTTTTTTAAAATTCTAGAATCCATGACAAATTTTTGAATGCTGAGGAGCAACATAATAATCTAACAAGAAGTCCTACAAAGCGGGGTGGGGATTTAGCTCAGTGATGCCTGTGCCTGCCTTGCAAGCAAAAGATCATGTGTTCCATCACTGGTATGAAAAAAGAAAAAGAGGGAAGTCAAAGAAGTCCTACCAAGAGGAGCACTGGAGCAATGACGGTGCCACCTTGGCAAAGGCTGGAGGAAACTGCTTTGTATCTGCATTGGATGAAGGTTGCTAAAAAATATTTAACCACAGCTTTTTTTCCCCCATGGGTACATGGGAAAGTATCATAGTGTAGAAAAACCCAGCTGAATGTATGAAATATTTAGAAAGATATCTATGTTCCATAGGATGATATATGATTTGTTACTGCACTGTATATTTCCTACCTTGGAACCTGAACAAAATCAGCTCAAGATTCTGAAACCATGTGTCAAATTAACTGTCTTCCCTATTAATATAGGGAAAATAAATACACTGAGTTGGTGTTCCCCAAAACTGATTAATGAATTCTAAGAAACAATGGAGGTTAAGAGTAGGAAATATTTATTGGGAAAGATAGCTCCAGTGAGATAGGAGGGGATCCAAAAGCGTGTTGCTGCAGACCCCCCTTTATAGAGGGAGTTTCATAGAGCAGAACCATGAGATGGGTACAAAATCATGAAGTAAGTACAACTGGGTTAGAAACTATGATCAACCACTACAATTATAAGGATAGGTGCTTTGGTAATATTGATTTAATAGGGAAGCAGGTCATGCAGCAAGTGTAGAGGAAAGAATAAGGACTTTTTTGGAAGAGATGAATCAGGAGGTCCTGGTAACTCACTGGGGTGACTGATGTCTAACGAGACCTCATTGGACTGAGTGATACAAATTAGACGGCATTGTTTTCCTTTGGGGAGGCAAACAAACCACTCTCACTCACATGTGAATCATCCCTATGGGAGGTGATGGATGAATATTGATTCCACTGCTTCTCATACCCCACTCTACTGCTGTGTGGAATGATATAATGTACAGTCCCCACTAGGCCCTACTAAAATTGGTAATATGTTAAGTATTAACCTTCAGCTAGACAGGAGATGTGTTTGCTTCATATTTTCAAATTACAGTTCAGAGGAAAGTACAGTACCTGAGAGTATTAAGCAGAATCTCAAATCCCAAGTGTTTGCTAAAAGATTTCGCTCACATATATATATTCTACATGGAAATTTGTCATACTATATGAAATAAATTCGTATTTCTTTCAATAAAGGAGAGGTGACAGCCTAACTTACTGTCACAAATGAATCCACTAAAAAACTCATTTATAAGAAATAGGAGACTGTTATCAGGCATGCTGATGAAGGCAGACCCTGAAACACATTGGCCAAAAAAATTGTGAATCAACAAACCTAAATTTGTGAATCAACAAACCTATATCTCTGAAAGCTCCAACTGATTTCTGCCACCACTTAATTTGGATGAATTTCAGCATTTTTCTTAATGCAGGTGTTCACAGAAAAGACGAATACAAACTGGTTGCATGATCAGTGAACTTTCCTCCTCCGCAGATCCCAGTGTCAACAGATGGGAACCCCCCTAGATTCATGTGTGAAGTTTATGCTTTGGAAAGCTCCCAAGGTAAGCCAATAGACAAGATGTTGGGTGAGGATGTCAGCTTACGCCCACCTCAGGCATCACCCTTAGGAACACAAGCAGCAGAGATGTGAAACACCGCAAGAAAAGAAAGGGCACTGCGGCACACTGTCAATGTTTGGTTTATTGCAAAAGTCACAGGAGAAAGGTTTACAGGCCCCACTGGGGCAAACTGCTACACTCAAGAGTCCCTGGCTGTTTCAGAGGCTCTAACACCGGGTCCAGGCGAGCAGTTTCGGTTCTTTCATGTCAAGTTTATGAGCCTCTTCCCATAATCCGCTGAGCGTCACCAAAGAGTCGACTTATGCATCCCCAGAAATTCAGTATCCTCTGCGGTGCAACCTACATGACGTTGGTATGCTGTGTCACCACACGTCACCAAGATTCTCGTAACAGGGTTGCAATTTCTAGACTTTTCCTTTGCAGAATCAGGCATCAGGGTTTGGGGATATAGCTAAATGGGTCCCCTGCCTGACTGAAAACGGCAAGGTCCTGAGTTCTATAATCAAAACACCAAAAAAAAAAACAAAAAAAAAAAAACCAGAAAACAAAAAACAAAAATCCTCCATCAAATCCTCCCATCCGATAACAATACCGTAGACATAATTGTTACCGAAACGCGGCCCCGTGGATCGGCCGGCCTCCCTGCCATTCATCCTCTGACCGAGGCCTCCTGGGTTTCGCGAAGACGATTCCTCTGCAGCTTTCACCTCCTTGCCTCTTTTCCCCCTCGGATACACTCTGTGGAGGTCGCAACCCTTTCCTGAGAGTAGAAAAGAAGCCCATGAGGATCGTGAGCGATGTGCTTGCCCACGCAAAGGGAAAGGAAAGGCCAGGGGAAGGGAGGGAGGAAGAACGGAATGGTTCCCACGACGTTCTCACCAGCAGTGTCCTTCCCCGTCGCCAAGAGACCACGTGAGGTCGCTCACCTGCACACGGCCCAGTAGTCATGCGCGAGGACTACAGCACGAGCGCAGTTCTCTTGCCCTGCTTGTTCTTCTTCTTCTCGGTTTTCGGAGCTGCGGCCCTTCCTCCCAGAAATGGTGCCCGGTCAGGGTGCACAGACTCTCGAGCTGTCAGGGGCCTGCCCGAGTTGGTTGGCCAGAAATTCTCTTGCTCCGGGCGGGTCACCTTCAGCCGGGCTGTGTGTTTGGACGGGTGGATCATGACTGCATCGGCTGGAAGGGTACATTCCACTGTCCTGAGGTTCAGGGCAGTCTCGGGTCGGTTCTGTTCTTGGTGGAATCTGTAGTCCTCTAAAGTGCTCCACTCAGTTTCTGTTCCCACTCCTTGCTCTCTGAGCTTGCTGTGGTCCCCGCAGGCTGCCCGCGGGAGCTCTGTGGGGTTTGCTGTCCCTTGCCCAGCATGACTGCATCGGCTGGAAGGGTACATTCCACTGTCCTGAGGTTCAGGGCAGTCTCGGGTCGGTTCTGTTCTTGGTGGAATCTGTAGTCCTCTAAAGTGCTCCACTCAGTTTCTGTTCCCACTCCTTGCTCTCTGAGCTTGCTGTGGTCCCCGCAGGCTGCCCGCGGGAGCTCTGTGGGGTTTGCTGTCCCTTGCCCAGCGCTTAGGCAGTGACCTTGTTGTCGTCCATCTGGTACCAACGGCCATCCCCGGCTTTGACGTAAGAGAAGTAATGTCCACTGTGAGAGGTGGAGCCAGCGTGGACCAGCACCGCGTAGAGCGTGTACACGCGGGGGCCCCCGACCCGCTCGCACATGTACGGCTGCACGTCAAGCCGCTCGGAGTAGTGCACGTGCTTGGTAATCTTCTCCCCCGTGAAGTCCGAGAAACGTTTCAACACCAGGATCAGGACCTCGGAGGAGGCGTGTAGGGACATGGTCTTGGTAGCCGGCCTCTTCTGGAGACAAACGCTGCAATGGTAAGCGTTGTCCCCGATCAGTTCCTCGGGCTCTGTGGCTCGTGTCAGCGCCTGCTTCACACTCTGAGCTGCCTCGATGTCCACAGTGATGTCCAGGTAGGGATCGAAAGTGTCAGAGGTGCTTCCGCAGTGGAGACACTTGATTCGGGATCTCCAGCAGCCGCCGAAGATGCGGTGCACGAGACCCCTGCCCTCAGGGTGCAGCTCTGCCTGCTGCATGGCGTCCAAGACGAACATGAGAAACTCGTGTGCATCTTCCTGCTTCTGTCGGTGGAAGGCATCGATCAAGGCGTGCAGAGGCTGGATGACGCGTCCGGGGCTCCGCAGAGCGTGAGTGACGTGACGTTGCACAGCACAGAGCATGCAGACGGTCAGAGTGGGACAGGTTGGCTTGTGCCCCGGGGACAGCATATAGTTGGCCAGGGGTGGTGTGTAGGTCAGGCACTGCAGGGCTGCATTCACGTAGCAAGTGTTTCCCAGGTTCCAGAGACCCGCTCCCACTCCACGGGGTCTCCTCCAGCTCCGGAAAGTCCTCGCTCTCCCATGGCACCCCGGCACCGCGGGAGACGCCTCCTCACGCCGGCCTGCATCCGTCCACCTCTGCATCGAGGAGTCTGCAGGAAAACAGGAAACACCGTGAGCAGGAGCAACGGGAGCGTCTCACAGAGGAACTTGCTCTTCCAGAGCATGAGGCTCAGCGAAGAGCGGGCGAAGACCCAACCTCGCAAGCAAAGCACAGGCTCATGCCTGGAGGTCACAAGTGAACACAGATATTCTCAGGGCCCGGTACGCTTCCTTCTAGATCCCAAAGGACACGGCCACGTATGACCATCCTCACCGTTACCCACCGCAAACACAGAAGCAAAGCAAAACTCCCGGGTTTATGGGTAAGAACGGGGAAAGAGCCTCTGACCCAATCGATTCCCCACTGCCGAGAAAAACCTCTGAAGAAAATGCAAAGAGCAAACCTGATCTCCCTAAGGCGAGTGTCGTTTATGCCCATCCTGGTGCCAGGCTGCTATGATGTGGGGCAAAGCCAGAAGCTTTTCCCCTCTCATCCGAGCAAGACAAGCACCTTCCTTCTGCACACTTCCATGTGACTGAGTACTCCAAGATGAGTCCCTTGCAAACAGGCCAGGGAAAGGAAGAGAGGGGGTGCGTGTCGGACAGAACAAGTTCAGGGAATCGTTCTCGGTAGAAGACAGGGCTCGGTAGATCGTAGATCGAGGGACCCAAATCTTCCACAGAAACGCTACTGGAATGCATAAGCAGATTCGGCGATGCAGCCGAATGGAAACATCAACACAAATTTCAATTGTGTTCCTTTACAGCAGTGAGAAACTCACCAAGAGGGAAATGCCGAAGACAGGACGACGATGTGCCTCACCCCGGCAGACACACCATGTGCACAGTTGGGCGTGAGGCTAAGCAGGAAAGTGAAGGGTGTCTGCTTTGCCGCTCCAGTACTCTGTCCTTCAACCAGTGTAGACCACAGAGACAGAGTAGAATGCTATCAAAGTGGCTGGTCAGATTTAGAATCCCTCCCCTTCAGCTATCAGTGACAGAGGAGCTGTAGAACGGAACCTCAGAGAACTGGAGAAATCCAGCCGGAAGGTCTTCAGAAGCAGAGCACACCCAGAAGAGCCAAAGCAATCCTGGGCAAGTGGAGCCACGAGAATCCTGCATTGAAGACACATTTCAGGACCCCTTGCTAAGAATCGGTTGGCTGAGAGCACAAAAGGGCACAGGTGAACCCATGACACAAAAACTAGAATGAAGAGATGTCCACAGGCACGCTCAACCATCTGCTTTGCACAAAGTGGCCCAAAACCCGCTGGGCAGAAGATAGATGCCTTAGTCACTCGTGCTGGCAAGCTCAGCCACGTGCACGCATCTCATCAAATCGGTACCACACCCCGCCAGGAAAGCTACAATCCACAGAGAATAAATTAGGAGAGGTTAGCCTGGAAAAGCTAATCTGCTTTTCTGGGAGAGGTAAAGCAGGCCAGGAGGTAAAGGTGGAGGCCCAGACAGGGACATTCTGAACAGTTCTTCATCCACACAAGAATTACTGTCACGATTTCACAAAGAGCCAGACGTCGTGGCCCACGCCTGTAATCCCAGCACTCAGGAGGCTGAGGCTGGAGGATGGCTGTGAGTTCCAGACTCATGGGCTACTTAGGAAATTCCAGGTCAGTCTCAACTACATAGTGAGAGCCTGTCTCAAAACCCCCCCTCCCCGCAAAAATGCTTTCTCAAACATTGCCACAGGAAGTCAATTCATTTTCAGGATGTAGAAGACTTTTTTGGCTGCATCCACATGCCCCTCCCCCAGGTCCTCCCAGGGTCCTAGCTGACTCTTTTCAGAGTTGGCTGGATCCAGGGTGTGTGACCAGTTTGAGGTGCAACGGTAGGATTAAGGTTGCTGCAAGGAAGGGCGGGTGTGTAACTCCATCCATTTTTTGCTTGGCACCGCCCTAATCCTGGTAGCCTGGATGTGGCAGAAGGGTGGAATGAGGATTGTCCTGTGCCTCGTTGCTCTCCTAGCTCTGTTCACCATGAAGTGTTTCTCCTCAGCGAGGCTGGCCTGCCTGCAGCCAGCCCATCGAGGGCTGAAAACTCCAGCGACTCTGAGCTCCCTTCACTTTGGGCATGGGGCCTTTTGTCTCTGCACCCAGAAAAGTACCTCAGAGAGTTTCCACAAGACGGTGAGAAGAAAAGCCATCACCAGTAGCAAGAGGCGCCAAATAGTTGTTCCAGGTCACAACCTCCTACAAGTCTTACAAAAACATCTGCCCAATGTCCCTGCGCGTCAGCTTTCTCCTTTGGACGTCTCATAACCCAACCCTCCCACTCACCTTCCCTCCCTTTTCCTGGCTTCCACCAATCGGGTGATGCCACGTCAGAGCCTGGGCATCACAGGGTACCTGGGCGTGGTGGCACACGCCTATAATCCCAGCAATTGGGAGGCTGAGGCGGGAGCATCACTGTGAGTTTGAGACCAGCCTGGGCTACACAGTGAGTTCCAGGTCAGACTCAACTACATAGTGAGACCCTGTCTCAAAAAAGACAAAGGACAACAGCAACAAAAAAAAATTGGGCTGTCCATTTCCATTCTGTGTGCTTTACATTTTTTCATAAGATACACTTTGCTTTCCTCGCTTTCCAGAGAATCTCAGGACCCATTGTTTTGACAACACGCTTCCTGATTTTCCCACTCGATTCCAGTAGGATGCTGACTCTGTGTTCACCCACATGGGTAGTTCTTAGATCTCCATTCCTCTGAGTCTTGATCTTTAAGGTGCTCTTCACCTTTGCTGCATTTCTCAGACTGAAAGACGAAGACGTCCCCACGTGTTTAGCACGGGTCCACCCTCCAATGATACTGCGTACCCGGTTTGCATGTATTTGAGAATCCTTCATTCCTCCAGTATCAGGGACTTCTTTCCAGTGTACGATGTGCCCGGTGCGTTGCTAACTGTCTCGGCGATGTTTCCTTAAGAGCTTGTATTCACTCTTCCTCAAGGAAACTTTTTCTTCCTTTCAGATCTCACTTTACCTGGAGGTGATATCGGCCCCACCCAATGATTTTGTGTCTGTTGGCATATCGAAGACGTTTGCATCTGTCAGGAAAGGGTATTTTAACAAACACATAATTCTCTTCCATCTATCATCTATCTAAGCTGTGTGTGTGTGTGCATCTCAATCCCAAAGCAGCACAATCATCATGTATCCTACCCATGGCCTGAAAAGAAACCCATCCTTACAAACAGAATGTTACTGAATGGAGACTCACATTCCCTGTTGGGTGCCTCGGCCTCCATTTGCACTGGAGCAAAGATCCAAAGCTCTGTGTTCAGGAAGGTCAAAGCCGAAAGATGCATCCTGCTCTGAGGCGGTGTTGGCCTGACAGGAAGTCTCACCTGCTCACTTCGTCTCATAACCCAACCCTCCCACTCACCTTCCCTCCCTTTTCCTGGCTTCCACCAATCGGGTGATGCCACGTCAGAGCCTGGGCATCACAGGGTACCTGGGCGTGGTGGCACACGCCTATAATCCCAGCAATTGGGAGGCTGAGGCGGGAGCATCACTGTGAGTTTGAGACCAGCCTGGGCTACACAGTGAGTTCCAGGTCAGACTCAACTACATAGTGAGACCCTGTCTCAAAAAAGACAAAGGACAACAGCAACAAAAAATCATTGGGCTGTCCATTTCCATTCTGTGTGCTTTACATTTTTTCATAAGATACACTTTGCTTTCCTCGCTTTCCAGAGAATCTCAGGACCCATTGTTTTGACAACACGCTTCCTGATTTTCCCACTCGATTCCAGTAGGATGCTGACTCTGTGTTCACCCACATGGGTAGTTCTTAGATCTCCATTCCTCTGAGTCTTGATCTTTAAGGTGCTCTTCACCTTTGCTGCATTTCTCAGACTGAAAGACGAAGACGTCCCCACGTGTTTAGCACGGGTCCACCCTCCAATGATACTGCGTACCCGGTTTGCATGTATTTGAGAATCCTTCATTCCTCCAGTATCAGGGACTTCTTTCCAGTGTACGATGTGCCCGGTGCGTTGCTAACTGTCTCGGCGATGTTTCCTTAAGAGCTTGTATTCACTCTTCCTCAAGGAAACTTTTTCTTCCTTTCAGATCTCACTTTACCTGGAGGTGATATCGGCCCCACCCAATGATTTTGTGTCTGTTGGCATATCGAAGACGTTTGCATCTGTCAGGAAAGGGTATTTTAACAAACACATAATTCTCTTCCATCTATCATTTATCTACCCAGCTAGCTAGCTATGTATCTGAGCTAAATGAAAGCACAGTGATGCCTCTGCCCTGTGACAGTTCTCTCCATTCACAAATGAACTCATCACAGATGCTCGTCTTCTCTTTCTAATTACGAAGACTGACATTATGACAACGGGCTAAGGACACATTGCCATGGCTGACACCCGTGTAACACATGGGCATGGTTCCTCCTTGTTTCCTAGCACTCCCATTTCACATTCTGTAGCTAGCTAGATAGTTAGCTAGATAGATGATAGATGGAAGAGAATTATGTGTTTGTTAAAATACCCTTTCCTGACAGATGCAAACGTCTTACACATTGCCACACCCGTGTAACACATGGGCATGGTTCCTCCTTGTTTCCTAGCACTCCCATTTCACATTCTGTAGCTAGCTAGATAGTTAGCTAGATAGATGATAGATGGAAGAGAATTATGTGTTTGTTGTTTGTTA